CCCTCCCCCAGACATAGGTAGGAAGGGTCTCGGGATGTCCTCGGCAGCAGTCTAACCCCTCCCGGCCCGGTCAGGCCCCAGGGCCCACGCTGCGTCTGCCGGGCGGCTCCCCTCAGGGACAGGGACCTGGTCATCCAAGCGATCCCTCTCCTCCAACTGGGCAATCAGTTGTTCCTTGGTGGACCTCCCGATGCGCAGCCCCCTCTGCCTGCACAGCTCCACCAGGTCGCTCTTCAGGCGTTTAGCGTACATCTCCCTGCTGGCCACTCGCAGGCCGGGCAGCTTCCCACGGTTTCCAGGAAAAGCCCTTAGTGTGCCAGTCCTTCTTGAGGTCACCACCTCTTTGCCAGGGTCGAGCTGCAGACTCCTCCGCCCCTGGGACCGCTCGCTGCAATCCCCCGGGGGACCCTGTTACTGCAAAAGTCTTTCTCTCTGGTCACACATTCCCAGGGGTTAACCGCCCCCCGAAACCGTCTCTCTCTGAATCTTCAGCACGCCTGGTCCCCGTCAATTCCCCTTCGTTTTACTGTTCCCCAGTCACTTACTGCAGGAAGCGCCGTTCACGGGGTGCAGTAGATCCCACCTCTGCCACCAGTTGTCACGGAGTGTGGGGGAGTCCAGGCCCTGCACCCCTCTTCCTGGGATCCACTGAGACTCTCAGCCAGCCAGTAAAACAGAAGGTTTATTGGACAACAGGAACACAGTCCACAACAGAGCTTGTGGGTACAACCAGGACCCCTCAATCACGTCCTTCTGGGGGAGCAGGGGGCTTAGACCCCAGCCCTGGGGTTCCCTGCGTTCCTCCCCCCGGCCTCCAAACTGCCAACTCAACCCACCCAGCAGGCCCCCTCCTGCAGCCTCTGTCCACATTCCCGGGCAGAGGTGTCACCTCCCCCTCCCGGCTCAGGGGACAGGCTCTCAGGTCTCCCATCCCCAGGGCACATTCCCAGGTCAACACTCCCCCCTCCCTGCTGAGTCACATCGTCACAGGGGGACACTGGCCTGCGGGGAGAGGGGACCCCGTTGACCGGACCAGCCGGGTCCAGCCAGAGAGGCTGGAGCACAGACAGCTCCCTGCCTCGTCCCTGTGCGTGGCGGGCGGAATAACGACTGACGGTGGGTGACGAGAGACGCTGCGGGTACGGGTGTCGCGGGAGTAAGGACCACGTGAGGCAGGGGAGATGCCTGAATAAACCGTCGCTAAGGAAATTAACACAAAACGGGGGAACCGCCGCTTACAACGGCCCAGAACCCTGAATCGCCCTGGTGATAGCCGTGTAACACCCCCGCGGCGCACGACGGGCCTGACCCGCGCCCGCCCAGTCACGAGGGCGGACCGCGCCACTTGTCCGCGCGCGCCGGCCTTTTCTGCGGCTGGCGGCGGGAACACGTGCTACGGTCCCCGCAACGGCGGGAAACCAGCTGAGGTGAAACGGCCTTTGAGATCGCCCCGTGGCGGTGTTGGGGACACTGGGCATGGCCACTAGGTAACTCGAGGGGGTGGAAGGCCACGAGTGTCGATGAAGCCCCCTCGCACTAGGCCCAGGTGTCCTTGGCCCCCCACCTGGAGGCACTCGCAGCAGTTATGCTGAGGATCTGCGACAATATGCTGCGGAGTCAGACTGCCTGAAACTAAGCAAGGCCACACAGGGCAGGTAGGGAAGAACAATGCTGAATCAAGCAGCTTTATGTATGGTTTAACAGACGGTACAGAGAACCAGGGAACTAGCTGGATTGGCTGGCTAGATGGATCCTTAGGGCAGCTTGCTATTGGGTAAGGATGCTGAAGAAAGGACGTATAAAAGCCTGTGTAACTTCCTGCTCTGGGTGCAGGATTTGAGATTTTATTCTCCCTGGACCTTTTTGCAGCTTCCAATAAACTTTTCTGCGTCTCCACCCCGTTGTGATGATTGGGTGATGCACACCGGGTAACGAACCAACCCAGCTGTTGTTCAGCCTCTCGGCACTGGGTGCCGGCAACAGCGGGAAAAACCCGGTTTGACCCGGTCGTCCCCAGGCCGGGATGACGGGGGGCCAAGATGGAGGTTACGGAATGGTGGGCCAGGCTCCATTTTGAACGGCTGCGAGAGCCTTCCAAACGACACGCTGGGTTTAACGCGCGCGTATTTTACTGAGCTATAACAGTGTAACCCCTCACACCCCACAGAGGCCCCGGGGCCCAGAGCGAGGGGACTCCCTGAGGGGCCCACGGCAGAGACAGGCGGGCTAGGGCTCCGAGAGGTGCGGCTCCAGGAGACGGAGGGGCTGGAGCCCCGAGAGAGAGGACCCCCGAGAAGGGCTGTCGCACTGAAGGGGGTTCCCCCCGGGGACCGCACGCACGGGGCCAGGAGCCCGTAACAGCCCGTCACTCGGCCTCTCGGGTCCCCTCTGGGCAGTGGGGATAATAGCGCCTCCTGCCCCACAGCGGGGCGAGGCTCTGACGGGGGGCGGGGACCAGAGACAGCCTGTGGCCCTGCAATCTACCGCCTCAGCAGGGGTTAGCCGGACCCAGCTGGCTCCCGGGGCAGACTAACGCCCCCGGGCCCGGTGTCGGGCTGGCCGTGCCCCCACTGGACCCCGGGAGTGCTGGGGTGGGTGGGGGGCAAGGTCTGTCCCAGGGTGCACCTCTGAGCCAGCGCCGGGCAGGTGCGTCTGAGCCTCGCCCCGCAACATCAGACGTCTTGATCGCCACCCTTTGCCCGTTTTTATAGCCCTCCCCGTGACCCACGGAAAGTGAAAGGGAATTCGCCCTTCCCCGGGAGCCCTGCCAGCCCCGGAGAAGGAGACAGGGAGGCTGCGGGACGGAGGGCAGGGACCATGGGGCTGGCAGATCTCCTTGTCCCACTCCTTTTCCTCGGGGTGGCCGGTACGTACAGACCCCTTGTGTCCTGGGGCAGGGCCCCGGGGCTCCCCGGCCGAGTAGAGTGCCGGGGATGGAGCCCAAGACTTGGCTCGGTCCTAGCGGGGCCCAGCTCTGCTCTGGGCCCCTGGGAATGACCCGGAGGTGCAGGGGATTGTGTACGTGGGAAAGGTGGGAAGGGACAGGCTGTGCCGAGGGGGGGGACACACCAGGGCGAGAGGGAGAGCCGCTTTCTGGCTGTGGGTGCTGTGTGCAGGGGGTTCTGGCTATGGGTGCTGTGTGCAGGGGGGGTCTGGCTGTGGGTGCTGTGTGCAGGGGGGGTCTGGCTGTGGGTGCTGCGTGCGGGGGGGGGGGTGTCTGGCTGTGGGTGCTGTGTGCAGGGGGGGGCTGAGCTGGCCTTTCTGCGCAGATTGACCTGCCGGCAGCTCTGCTGTCTCTCTGGCCAGCTCCGTCCTCGGGACGCCAGGGCCTGTGCTGGGTGAGGGGCACAGCTGGGGAACGGCAGGATTTCACTGCAGGCAGAACCTGAGACCCCCTGGAGCTGAGCCAAGGGGAAAGGGCCCTTTGGGGGCTCGGTGGTGAGCGTGGGCAGGCACTCCTGGACCATGGCCGGAGGGGCAGAGACCTGCCTCACGGACAGAGACTTGGGGTCCGTCTGCACTGCAAGGAAAAGCCCGCGGCACTGATTCCCACAGCCCAGGTCTATTGCCTCGGGCTCGCGCTGCAGGGTTGCCAATAGGCGCATGGGAAACGACCCGGGCGCTGCGATAACCCCGTGTTCAGTAGCAGGATCCCATGACTAGATTCCTCTCTGTCACGGAGGCCCTGGGCGATGCTCTGGAGCTGCGCCCCATGAAGCCAGGCAGGACTCTGGGGCAGTCTCCTCTCCGGGAGCAGCCTGTCTGTAGGACACACAGCTCACACAGCTCCACCTTCCTGGGTCTGACCTCGGAGCATTCAGCCTCCTCTGCCCCTCCCTGCGCTTCCCACAGAGAGTCCGCTCAGGCGGGGCTCCTGGGGAAGCCAGAGGGTCCTGCACCCCAACTTCGCAGTCAGACGTGACTCTCAGCCAGCGGGTAAAACAGAAGGTTTATTAGACGACAGGAACATGGTCTAAAACAGAGCTTGTAGGTGCAGAGAACGGGACCCCTCAGCTGGGTCCATTTTGGGGGGCAGTGAGCCAGACAACCACGTCTGCCCTTCACTCCATGTCCCAGCCAGCCCCAAACTGAAACTCTCCCCAGCCCCTCCTCCTCTGGGCTTTGTCCCTTTCCCAGGCCAGGAGGTCACCGGATTCCTTTGTTCTCCAACCCTTTAGCTCTCACCTTGCAGGGCGGAAGGGCCCAGGCCATCAGTGGCCAGGAAACAGGGTGTCGGCCATTCTCTGTGTCCAGACCCCTGCACACACCTGCCCTCTAGGGCTCTGCAACAATCACACCCCCTTACCCCACCCCCTAGAGACTTAAGAACTGCCTAGGGGAAACTGAGGCACCCCCACACTATTCAGAGGAAACATTAAGAACAGTCCCACTTCGTCACACTGTCTGCTCACTGGTGTGGGGGCTGTTTCGTTGCTGATATTTACCGGGCAGGGGTTTGTGAACTTGTTCAAACTTCCCAAAGAAACCGTGTGAACAAAACAGCCGGGTAGCTGTTCCCGCGGGGCTGGAGCCCTGGCTCGGAGACACGGAGAGGAGGGCAGGTCTCAGGGCCCAGGCTCCAGCCCGGTTGGGAACATTTTTAGCCCTGCAGCCCAAGGCTTCCGAGCCGGAATTAATAGAGCTGGGCCCACCTGGTGCTGTGGGTTTTCCTTTGCAGTGTGGATGTACCCCAAGGAGCTCAGTCTGCTCAGCTTAGCACAGAGAAAGTTCAGGGGGGATGGCAGGACGCTGGTCTAGAACCACCCACGTGGGGAACAAAGGCTAGCAGCAGAGGGGCCTGTCCCCTAGCAAAGGCAGAACAAGAGCCAGTGGCTGGGGAGCTGAAACAGGACACGCTCAGGCTAGAAATACGTGACCGTGTTCAAGAGGGAGGGGAGTTAATTCCTGGAACAACTCGCCGGGGAGCAGGTGCTTCTCCAGCGCCTGGAGTCAGTGAAGTGCGATTGGGTGTCTCTCTGAAGGCACGGCTGGAGCTCTGCCGGAGTAGGACTCCCTGGAGCACTTCTCCAGCCTGGGCTATGCAACTGGCCAGACGGGCGGGGCACGATGGGCCCTGCTGGCTGTACCAGCTGGGATCCTACCGCAAGGCTGTAAACAGTCCACAGACATTTTGCAAGGGAGGGGCCCCTCGATTTTGCATAAACATGACAGCACCCACAGTCCACAGAGAGCAACGCCCGCCTCCTGCAAGTCCAAGCCCTTGGCTCGTTTCAGCGCCTCTCTCCACAGAATGACCATTTCGTATCTGAAAGGAAAGGTGCTGGATTTCAGCTGAGAAACGCAGGGGTCCCCAGCTGGGAAGGGGCCCGAGCGGTGGAGCTGGGAGCTCTGCCCCGGGGCGGGGACATGCTGCCTGCAGGCCAGCTTGCAGCTCAGCTCTCTCCCACCTGGCTACAGGCACATTCCTTTGTCTCCCAGCCGTCCCTAATTGTTCCGAGCTCGCTGCACAAATCAATGTGTCCCTCACGCGCCGGAGAATGTTTGGACAGTTTCCTTCATTCCTAAAAGGGCCGGAAACAGACTCTGCAGCAGGATCCCAGACGCAAAGGGTCCTGCCTGAAGGCAGAGACAGTTCCCAGGACTGCAAACCTGTGTGGTTTATTTACCCGTTTCATTTTACAGGTGACCCACTGACGATATACACCCTGCCCTCCTCCTCGGCTGTGCTGGGCTCTGCAGCGTTGCTGAAATGCCGGTTCAACATCGGGGGGCCGATCAATCTAACCGCGCTGCAGGTGCACTGGTATTTCTCGGATCGCAGCGTGGCGCAGTACGACCGGGGCAAGGAAACATTTGCACCAGGGGTGAGCATCTCCAAGCAGGAGTTACTGATCGGGAACGCCTCCCTGGGGATGGAGAACGTTCAAGTGTCGGACGAGGGGCCGTACAAATGTGTGGTCGGGTACGGTGCGGAGCGGCAGCAGAGCGAGACGACTCTCCGTGTGTTCGGTAAGGATGGCACAGGAGTCCCGGCCGAGAAGCCGCCAGGAGTCATTGTCCCACTGCTGCTCGGGCTGGCAGGCCGGAGTGGCTCGCGTGCGTGCGAGCGAGGGGACGTGGAAGCCCTGGTGTGCCTGCGTGCGCACCGTGTGTGTGCAGAGTCGCCGAACGGTGCAGCCCATCGCGGACACAGCGTGTTCTACCCCAGCCGCAGGAAGGGGCCGGGCGCTGGTGCAGTGGCCACAGGGCTCAGCACCGTGCCAGACAGTGACAGTCGCTGAGCTAACGCTGCACTCACGTTCTCTGCCTCTCTTTCCAGCTGCACCCAGACTCTCCGTCCCCCGGCGAGCGGCCGGGAGAGACACAGCCAGCGCCTTCCCCTGCCACGTGCGGGGATTCTACCCCGCGGACGTCACCGTCGCCTGGCTGAGAGACGGGCGGGTTCTGACCGACGTCACCCCGTCTGCCCCCCAGAGGAACCCGGACGGGACCTTCAACCTCACCCTGACCTACACCTTCACCCCACCGCGAGCGACTCCGGCAGCCTCTTCTCCTGCCGCGTCAGCCACGCGGCTCTGGCTCAGCCCCTGCGGGAGGGGTTCCCCCTGGCGGTCACAGGTGAGTCTGGGCTGCGGGAGGGCAGGATTCTGGGGTCCAGACCCTGCTTTATCGCTGACTGGGAAAGATTCACATTGTTCTTTGTCCCCTCCACGTCCCCTAAGCAGTAGGAGACTGACTCTGCTGGGATGCTTGGGGAGGGGGGGCAGGGGGGGCGTGCTGACACCTGGTGTGGGGCAGCGGGCACAAGGCACAACCCAGCCTGTCAGGGGTGAGTAGTGGGGAGGGGCTGGAGGAGCCAATGGGCAGGAAGATCCCTGTGCAGCCAAAATACCCAGAACATCCCCCCCACTCCCCGCCTGCCATCACAGTGTCTGCTGCCCAGGGATGGAGCCTTGGTAATGACTGATCCTGTCTATTACGGGTGCGCGGGTGGGTGGGTGGGGGGTCCCATTGTTTCAGGAGCTGCCCAGACACAGAGGAGGACACGGTCCCTGCCCTGAGCAGCTTCCAGTCAAACCAGAGCAGACAGACCCCGGGTGGGGGAAGGGGACAGCGCATCATTAGGGGAGTGGTAGGTAATGAAGAGGATCACTGGTCCCTGGTACAGAGCCATCTGGGTCACTTGGTCAGCTGGGCAGCAGTGACTGCGAAAGTGGAGGGGTTGCGGTGAATAATAACAATACTAAGTTATGCCATAAACACACCGACCCCTCTGTGATGCAGCTGGGAGGGGGGGTGGATTGACCGGGGATGGCGTCTAGTTTTACGGGGACTATCTGCACGGGGGATGGGATAGCAGGGGATGAGCCTCTAACCTGAGCCGGGAGGAGGTTGGGGCTGGGTGACACCTTGGCCCGGGAAACTGGACAAAGGCGAGAGGAGAGAGCCTGCTGGAGGAGTTTTGGTTTCAGTTTTGTGCTGGGTGGAGGAACACAGGGAACCCCAAGTCTGGGGTCTAAGATCCCTGCCCCCCAGAAGGACTTGACTGAGGGGTCCTGGTTGCACCCACAAGCTCTGTTTTGGACTGTGTTCCTGTTGTCCAATAAACCTTCTGTTTTACTGGCTGGCTGAGAATCTCAGTGAATCCCTGGAAGAGGGGTGCAGGGCCTGGACTCCCCCACACTCCATGACAACCGGTGGGAGTGGTGGGATGTACTGCACCCCGTGGACGGTGCTTCCTGCAGTAAGTGACTGGGGAGCAGTAAAACGAAGGGGGATTGATGGGGACCAGGCATGCTGAAGAGTCAGAGAGAGATGGTTTTGGGGGTGATTAACCCCTGGGAGTGTGTGACCAGAGAGAAGGACTTTTGCAGTAACAGGGTCCCCCGGGGGATTGCAGCGAGTGGTCCCAGGGGCGGAGGAGTCTGCAGCTCGACCCTGGCAAAGAGGTGGTGACCTCAAGAAGGACTGGCACCCTTGGGGTTCTTCCTGGAAACCGTGGAAAGCTGCCCAGCCTGCGAGTGGCCAGCAGGGAGATGTACGCTAAACACCTTAAAAGCGACCCGGTGGAGCTGTGCAGGCAGAGGGGGCTGCGCATTGGGAGGTCCACCAAGGAACAGCTGATTGCCCAGCTGGAGGAGAGGGATCGCTTGGATGACCCGATCCCTGTCCCTGAGGGAAGCCGCCCGGTGGATGCAGCGTGGGCCCTGGGGCCTGACCGGGCCGGGAGGGGTCAGACTGCTGCCAAGGGCATCCCGAGACCCTTCCTACCTAGGCCTAGGGGAGGGGTTGGGGGAAGCCCAACGAATACTGAGGGCACCCTGACCCCGGCAGCCAGCAGGGGATCCTCCCAGCGGAGCTCCCCATCCCTGGAGCAGAGGCAGCTGGCCTGGGAGAGGGAGATGAAAATGAGGGAGCTGAAGGATCGCGAAAAGCAGTGGCAGCATGAGGAGAAGCAGCGGCAACGTGAGCTGGAGGAGAACGAGAAGCAGCATCAGCATAAGCTGGAGGAGAAGGAGAGGGAACGTCAGGAGAAGGAGAGGCAACGTAGGCATGAGCAGGAGGAGAAGGAGAAACAGAGACAGCATGAGCTGGAGCTGGCCAGGCTGAAGAGCAGTGTGGCCCCGGCTGCAGTGAGTGAGGGGGGACCCAAGACTGCAAGAAGCTTTGATAAGTGCTTCCTGGCCCAGTGGAAGGAGGGGGAGGACATAGATAGCTTCCTGATGGCCTTTGAGAATGCCTGCGAGATGCACAGGGTTGACCCTGCAAACAGGCTCCAGTTTCTCACCCCTTACTGGACCCCAAAGCCGTGGAGGTGTACAGCCGAATGACAGGGTGGAGGCAGGGGACTACGAACTGTTCAAACAGGCCCTGCTCCGTGAGTTTGGGCTAACCCCAAGATGTACCGGAGAAGGTTCTGGAGTCAGTGTAAAATGCCTGAGGTCACTTACCTACAACTGGTCAACCGGATGCAGGGATATGCCCGCAAGTGGACAGCTGGGGCCCAAGCTAAAGAGGACCTGCTTGACCTAATCGCACTGGAGCAACTGTATGAACAGTGCCCTTCCGACCTGAGGCTGTGGTTGGTGGACAAAAAGCTAGAGAACCCCCAGTACGCAGGGCAGCTGGCCGAGTTTGTGAACAGTTGGTCAGGGGGCAGCCGGGAGGAGTCCCAAAAGAACAGCCCCCCCCCCCCCCGATTCAGAGAGAGAGAGTCACCAGGGGACCTCCCAGTGGGGAAATAGGGAGAACCCCCTCCCAAGGGGAACGCCTGGCATCAGGACCATCCAGCCCACTTGAGGGGACCGACGTGACCTGAGCTGCTATCACTGTGGCCAGAGAGGCCACGTACGGACCCAGTGCCCCAGGCTCAGGGACAGACTGAGCAGACCCAACCTACCCAGGGTTAACTGGGTAGAGACTTAGCCGGACGAGGGGCAGACGACCCAGGAAAGGGGGGCTACCAGTTTACCACCTGCGCAGCAGGGAAGAGTACCCCCCGGCCAGCCCCGCCAGAGGGCTGGAGGCTCTGGGCTCAGGGTGCTCGGTTTACAGGGTGGGCGCAGGGCTGTCCCTCCGGAGAGAGTGCCTTGTTCCCCTGGAGGTGGATGGGAGGAAGGTCAATGGATACTGGGATACGGCCGCGGAGGTGACGCTGGCCCGGCCTGAGGTGGTGGCCCCAGATCGGGTGGTGCCCAACACCTACCTGACCCTGACGGGGGTGGGCGGGACCCCATTTAAGGTGCTCGTGGCAAGGGTACACCTGAAATGGGGGGCCAAGGAGCGCCCCAAGGATGTGGGGGTACACCACCATTTGCCCACTGAAGTTTTGATGGGGGGAGACCTAGAGGACTGGCCAAGCAACCCCGAGAACTCCCTGGTCATAACTCGTAACCAGAGCCGGCGAGGGGCACTGCACCCTGACCTTGGGGAGGGTACCACACTGGAGGCGCAGGACCCTTCCCTGGTGGGGAGGGAGGGCCGAGGGGCACGGCTCAGAGAGGCTGAGGCCTCAGACCTGGCCACTGAGGGGGAACCGGGCCCCGTCCCTTCCCCAGCCGCTGAGTTCCAGGCCGAGTTGAGGAAAGATCCCTCCTTGCGGAAGCTCAGGGACCTGGCCGACCTCGGTATGGGATGGACCATGAGGAGAGGCTGCCAGGAGAGGTTCCTGTGGGAGAAGGGGTTCCTGGACCGAGAATGGGCTCCCCCAGGGGAAGTGGAGTCCTGTGGGATCAGGAGGCAGCTGGTGGTCCCCCAGAAGTATCGCCGCAGGCTCCTGTACCTGGCCCATGACATCCCCCTCGCAGGGCACCAGGGAATCCGGCGCACCCGGCAGAGGTTGCTACAGAACTTTTACTGGCCCGGGGTCTTTACCACGGTCCGGCAGTATTGCCGATCCTGTGACCCCTGTCAGAGGGTGGGGAAGGCCCGGGACAAGGGGAAAGCGGCTTTGAGACCTTTGCCCATCATAGAGGAGCCTTTCCAGAAGGTGGCCATGGACATCGTGGGGCCTCTCAGCAGGACGACCCGGTCGGGGAAGAAATACATTCTGGTGGTGGTAGATTTTGCCACCCGCTACCCCGAGGCAGTGCCCTCAGCTTCCATTGAAGCAGACACCGTGGCCGATGCGCTCCTGACCATTTTCAGCCGAGTGGGGTTCCCCAAGGAAGTCTTGACAGACCAAGGCTCCAACTTCATGTCGGCCCTGCTCTGGTGCTTGTGGGAGAAATGTGGGGTCCGGCACGACTGGGCCTCAGCTTATCACCCTCAGTCCAATGGGCTGGTGGAGAGGTTCAATGGGACGCTAAAGATGATGCTGAAAACCTTTATGAACCAGCACCCGCAGGACTGGGACAAGTACTTACCTCACCTGCTGTTCGCGTACAGGGAGGTACCCCAGGAGTCTACCGGATTTTCGCCTTTCGAACTGTTATATGGCAGGAGGGTAAGGGGCCCCCTGGACCTGATGAGAGACGAATGGGAGGGGAAGGCCACTCCCGATGGAGAGTCAGTGGTGGAGTATGTCCTGATCTTCCGAGAGAGACTGGCTGAACTCATGGGCCTGGCCAGGGAGAATCTGGCCAGAGCCCAGAAGAAGCCTCTGGGGCTCTACGAGTTCCTGACCCTGCCTTTTGGCCTCAAGGGAGCGCCGGCCACCTTCCAGCGCCTGGTGGACCAGCTCCTGAGGGGGATGGAGAGTTTTGCCGTAGCGTATATTGATGACATCTGTGTCTTTAGCCAGACCTGGGAGGACCATGTGTCCTAGGTTAGACAAGTGCTGGACCGACTCCAGGGGGCTGGGCTGACTGTAAAAGCGGAGAAGTGCAAGGTGGGGATGGCGGAAGTATCTTACCTGGGCCATCGGGTGGGGAGCGGCCGCCTAAAGCCGGAACCAGCCAAGGTGGAGGTGATCAGAGGCTGGCCCGCTCCCCACACCAAAAAGCAGGTCCAAGCCTTTATTGGGATGGCAGGATACTACCGAAGATTTGTGCCCCACTTTAGCGCCATAGCCACCCCCATCACTGAGCTATGCAAGAAGGGGAAGCCAGACAAGGTGGTCTGGACCGAGCAGTGCCAGGTGGCTTTCCGGGCGCTGAAGGAGGCTCTTGTCAGTGGCCCAGTTCTGGCAAACCCAGACTTTGACAAGCCCTTTGTGGTGTTCACCGACGCCTCAGACACGGGACTGGGGGCGGTGTTAATGCAGGAGGACGAAAAGGGGGAGAGACACCCCATCGTGTACCTGAGCAAGAAGTTGCGACCCCGGGAGGAAAACTACGTGGCCATCGAGAAGGAGTGCCTGGCCATGGTGTGGGCCCTCAAGAAACTAGAGCCCTATCTCTTCGGGCAACACTTCACCGTCTACACCGACCACTCTCCCCTGACCTGGCTGCACCAGATGAAAGGAGCTGTGATGAAGCGGGACTGTTCTTAATGTTTCCTCTGAATAGTGTGGGGGTGCCTCAGTTTTCCCTGTGCAGTTCTTAAGTATCTAGGTGGTGGGAGAAGGGTGTATGATCATTGCAGAGCCCTAGAAGGCAGGTGTGTGCAGGGGTCTGGACACAGAGAATGGCCGACACTGTTTCCTGGCCTCTGATGCCCTGGGTCCTTCCCCCCTGCAAGGTGAGAGCTAAAGGGTTGGAGAACAAAGGAATCCGGTGACCTCCTGGCCTGGGAAAGGGACAAAGCCCAGAGGAGGAGGGGCTGGAGAGAGTTTCAGTTTGGGGCTAGGGGGTGGACGCAGGGAACCCCAGGGCTGGGGTCTAAGCTCCCTGCTCCCCAGAAAGACTTAACTGAGGGGTCCAGGTGGTACCCACAAGCTCTGTTTTGGGCTGTGTTCCTGTGGTCCAATAAACCTTCTGTTTTACTGGCTGGCTGAGAGTCCTGGTGAAACCCAGGAAGAGGGGTGCAGGGCCTGGACCCCCCACACTCTGTGACACCCTCCTCAGAGAAGGGCGGGGGCCGGGCTAAGAAATGAAGAGGTTTTGTTTGACTCAGCAGGGACCGGGTAGAGCGATCACTGACCTTGTCACTTGTCTGCTGTGTGCTCTCGCCATGTGCCGCTCTGTGGGTGTGTGTGTGGAGGGGGGGCTGGTTGGCTGCTCCCTACGTTGTCCCCCCCCAAACCCCATGGAAAGGGAATCCCCGCCTGGGCGTGAGTGCCCCCTGGGTGGGGTGGGGGGGGTCTCCCTTGCACGGTTCTGAGTCCAGGGGTGCTGGGGGAGGGGTGGCTCCAGCTGGGCCCCATTTCACCCCCTCCCCCTGGTGCAGCACCCCCTGCTTTGGCTGCTTCTGCAGCTGCTCCCAGCGGCTGGAGTCTCCGTCCTCAGCACAGCAAACGGCCCTGGCGGGCAGGCTGGGAGCACGGCCCAGTCAGACCGTCCCGGGTGTCCCGTTGGTACGGGGAGCCCGTTCTCCGGTGTGGGGCGGTGCCGTGAGCTGGGTCTGACTTTTCTCTCCTAGTCCCAAGGGCAGGAGCGGATCACACCAGCGCCGCGATCGGGGCGACCCTGGGGATCCTGGTCGCAGGGGGAGCTGCGGCTGCGTTAGCCGTTTACTGCCGGAGGAAGAGGCGGGAAGGTAACGGGGGACGGTGCCATTGGCCAGTGGGGACGGGGGTGTCTGCATGGCCCCAGAGGGAGCAGAGAGTCTGGGGAGGCCGAGGGGACAGGGACACAGCCAGGGACACCCCAGGGGCTGCGGGGCTGGAGGGTCTCTCTACAGACTGAGCCCCCTGCAGCAGGGCCCATCCCCAGGGGAGGTTTCACCCTCCTGCTCTCAGGGATCCGCCGTTCCTGGCCCCGAGCTCCGGCCGGACGCGTCTCCCAGAGTCCCCGACACTGACCCCCTGTGTCGCTCTGACCCCGTGTGTCCCACTGTCTCTGTCTAGGTCCTTACAGTGCAGGGGAGACGCCCCCCCGAGGACCCAGCTGGGAGCAGAGACAAGACGCGCGGCGAGGACACGGTGCTGATGGCGAATGACGGGGTCAGCGATGCCGGGAAGGGGCCTGAGCAGCAGCCGCTGTTACCTGCTCAGGGCCAGGACCAGAGCGAGATTCAGGAGCAGGAGGACAGGGCGCGGGTCACAGGTGAGGGGCAGGAGAGGAGGGGTCACGCTATGGGGTCGGTCACCTTCCGCTGCGTGTGCGTGTAGATCCCACAGTGGGAGGATGGGGGGACACTGCATGGGGGGGGGGTTGATGGGGTCACGTGGGGCCAGCAGTATTCACCAGCCCCCATGGCTCAAGCCCTATGCCTCAGGCCCCCCCAGAATCAGGAACTAGCTTAAACCCATTTCAGTTCTCGCAATGGAGGCCAGGAACCTAAACACTGGTGAGAGTCTGGGCCTAAATATCAGGAGATGGGGACAGATGAACTGGCCAGAGGCTCTGGGGCCTGAATTAACCCTTTGTACCCAGGCAGGGCTGGGGCAGCCTGTGGCCCCCCAGGCTCAGGGTAACCCGGGGGCTCTGGTTCTGCCAAAGCAACTGACCCCGTGGGGCCCCTCGGTGACACCCCCCCCCCCCCGGCTCAGTTTGTTTCCCAGAAAGTTCCAATTCTTCTGGATCAAAAGCGTCTGATGTGGGCCCAAGGGCGTCATCCTGGATCACGCAGGGGGGCCCAGAGGCAGAGGGGCCATCCCCGAACGCGGAGCCACTGGGGGAGACGGGAGCCCAGGATGAGGAGCGAGCAGGGGCAGCCTCCCCACAGACACGGCCGGCGGTGGAGGCGACATTCCCAGCCCAGCACAGTGCGGCTGGGGAGGAGGGAGAGACAGATCTGAACCAGCACAGTGTGGAGGCTATGGTGCCCACCAGCCAGCCCAAAGCAGGGGATCAGGGGGCGCCCGGCAGTCATACCAATGAGAAGGATCAGGGGGTGCCTAACAACCAGACCAAAGCGGCTGCAAACACGGTGTCGGATCCTGCACAGGAGGAAGATGCCCAGGGAGAGGCAGGAGGTAACAGTGAGTGTTTGTGTGTGGGGGGGGGTAACATGGGAGGGAAGGGGCCCATGTCAACTGAACATTGTTCAACGTGCAGCCCACCAGGGACAGGTGCTGGAAGCTCTGTGAGACGTTCCCAGCAAGCCTCCAGCCGGTCAGCAAAGGGCCAGATGGCAAGTGCCCCATCCCTGGTGGGGTTCTGCCAGCATGGGCAGAGTCACTCCGAGGGGGCACAGTCCATGTGAAACAACCGAATGGTAACCCATTGACAGCTGGGGAGCGCCTCAAAGGAGGGGCCGTGTCTTTCCTCTGCACGGAGAGAGCCCAGGACACTCTGGGTGCTGTTCAAATAACTTTAAGTGCAGATGTTGGCACCTCCTAGAGCTACAGTTGCCCGACACTTCCCATTGTAAGCACCTGTTTTTGGTTGCTTGTAACTTTGCCAAACTTTAACTGCTGAGGCTGAAATTTCCCAGGCTGGGTGTCTGCCTCGAGCTCTTTTGTCCTGGAGTGCGTTTGTGTTTGTGGGTGTCATGGAGCGTAGGTCTGATGCTCTGGAACTGTTCTCTCTGAAGCCAGCCAGGACTCTGGGGTGGCGTGTCTGCCCGCAGGGCTCGCTGCCCAGGGCAAACAGCCACCTCGGCTCTGGCCTTCCCAGACTGACCTTGGAGCATCGAGCATCCCTGTTCACCGTATGCCTCCCCTTGGCGGGCCCACCTGGAGGGGACCCCCTGGGGAAGCCAGAGGGCCCTGCACCCCGACTTTGCAATCCACCGTGACTCTCAGCCAGCCAGTAAAATGGAAGATTTATTAGTTGATCAGGACACAGCATAGCATAGATCTTGTTAGCACAGAAATCAATGACTTTTAGCCTAATCCATCTTGGGGCAAGGGAAGCCCAGAGCCATGGCCCTGAGCTCTCTCCCTGCATTCCCAGACTGCCAGTCCCCTTCCAGCTGCCTCCCCAGCCACACCCGTCAGCCCTCCCCCAGGAAAAAGGTGTTGGGCTCAGGTTACGAAGGGCTCCAGTGTATACGTGCAGGCAGCTGGGCAGCCTTACCATCTAGGCATTGGTGTAGCACCCAGGGAAACTGAGGCACACACAGAGTGTTAGTATACAACAGTCGGACTTACATGTAACATAACAAGGTAAATAGGACCCCATTTCGTCACAGTGCTGGGGGGGGGTTCAGTTGTCACGGAGTCCCTGGGCGATGCTCTGGAACTGCTCCCCATGAAGCCAGTCAGGACTCTGGGGCAGTCGCCTTTCTGTGAGCAGCCTGTCTTCAGGATACACAGCTCACCCGGCTTCCCCCTTCCTGGGTCTGACCTCGGAGCATTCAGCATCCTCTGCCCCTCCGTGCGCTTCCCCCCAGCGAGTCCGCTCAGGCGGGGCTCCTGGGGAAGCCAGAGGGTCCTGCACCCCAACTCCACAGTCAGACGTGACTCTCAGCCAGCCAGTAAAACAGAAGGTTTATTAGACGACAGGAACATGGTCTAAAACAGAGCTTGCAGGTGCAGAGAACGGGACCCCTCAGCTGGGTCCATTTTGGGGGGCAGTGAGCCAGACAACCACGTCTGCACTTCACTCCATGTCCCAGCCAGCCCCAAACTGAAAAACCCCTCCAGCCCCTCCTCCTCTGGGCTTTGTTCCTTTCCCGGGCCAGGTGGTCACCTGATTCCTTTGTTCTCCAACCCTTCAGCTCTCACCTTGCAGGGGGGAAGGGCCCAGGCCATCAGTTACCAGGAAACAGGGTGTCGGCCATTCTCTGTGTCCAGATTCCTCCACACACCTGCCCTCTAGGGCTCTGCAATGATCATACACCCTTACTCCACCCCCTAGATACTTAAGAACTGCATAGGGGAAACTGAGGCACCCCCACACTATTCAGAGGAAACATTAAGAACAGTCCCACTTCGTCACATCTCTCCCCCCTTCGAGATCGAACTGAGCGGGGTCACTTTAGCCGGTGACCTGGGGAAGTTCGAAGCCACCAACGTTCCCATGGATGCCCCAGCATCTCTCCCATTCCTTGGTAGGAGTTACACCAGGCCCTTCCAGTTTCACACCCTCCCTTAGGTCAGGGGTGGTCGATAGCACTCGCAGGCCGCATGTGGGAAGGTTTATGCAGCCCATGCCCTTTGGCCACCCCAAGAATGTCTCCCCATTGACCATCACCTTCTGCTCCCACTGGAGGTCCGAGGGGCCTGGCCTCAGGAAACTCCACACAGACATATAGGTTGGGGTCAGGGGTGGGAGCCTGTCCACATCCCCAACCATCTGGCTGACGGAGTCTATGGCCTTGGGACCCAGCAAGGGAGCTAGACACCGGGGCTTTTCCGCAGGGTCCCCTTGGTTCAAATCGCCAGCCTGCTCAAAGGCAGTGAGGTGGGCATCCATACCCCCCCCCTCCTTAACCAGGGGCAGCAATTTAGTCTCGAGGTTCCCTGCGGAACTGGCCCCCCGGGATCTATCCCCACTCACCCCGGGGAGGTCCCCTAGGCCTCTCCGCCCCACCACCGCCAGTTCATGCTGCTGCTGCTTCTGCAGCTCTTTCTTGGGCTCTCGCTGTCTCCCACAGTCCTCTTGCTCTCTCAGACTCAGCTCCAATCCCGTCCATCTCGATCCCCCGATGGGGAACCCGATCGTGAAGACCCTCGTCTGGTCGGGGACAGGAGTCTTGGCGATGCCTGGCTCCCGCTCCAGCTGCTCCCAGATCCTGCTATAGCCCCAGTTGGGGTCAGGAATCTGTTCCTTAGAGCGGTCATCCTCCTCCAGCTGCACGATTAACTCTGCTTTGGTGAAATTTCCAACGCTCAACCCTCTCTTTTTGCACAGGGTGACAATGTCCTTCTTAAGGAGACGGTGACAGGCCATCACTCCGCTCCTCCCAAGTTGTTGTGGACTCACAGGCCCGTGTGTTCTCAGCTCCCCACGGTTTCCAGGGAGAACCCCTCGTGTGCCAGCCCTTCTCAAGGTCACCACCTCTTTGCCAGGGTCGAGCTGCAGACTCCTCCGCCCCTGAGACTGCTCACTGCAGTCCCCAGGGGGACCCCATTACTGCACAGTCCTTCTCGCTGGTCACACACTCCCAGGGGTTAACCGCCCCCCGAAACCGCTCCTCTCTGAGCCTTCAGCAGGCCTGGTCCTCGGCAATCCCCCTTCGTGTTACTGCTCCCCAGTCACTTACTGCAGGAAGCGCCATCCACGGGGTGCAGTACATCCCACCGCTGCCACCAGTTGTCACGGAGTCCCTGGGCGATGCTCTGGAACTGCTCCCCATGAAGCCAGTCAGGACTCTGGGGCAGTCGCCTTTCTGTGAGCAGCCTGTCTTCAGGATACACAGCTCACCCGGCTTCCCCCTTCCTGGGTCTGACCTCGGAGCATTCAGCATCCTCTGCCCCTCCGTGCGCTTCCCCCCAGCGAGTCCGCTCAGGCGGGGCTCCTGGGGAAGCCAGAGGGTCCTGCACCCCAACTCCACAGTCAGACGTGACTCTCAGCCAGCCAGTAAAACAGAAGGTTTATTAGACGACAGGAACATGGTCTAAAACAGAGCTTGCAGGTGCAGAGAACGGGACCCCTCAGCTGGGTCCATTTTGGGGGGCAGTGAGCCAGACAACCACGTCTGCACTTCACTCCATGTCCCAGCCAGCCCCAAACTGAAAAACCCCTCCAGCCCCTCCTCCTCTGGGCTTTGTTCCTTTCCCGGGCCAGGTGGTCACCTGATTCCTTTGTTCTCCAACCCTTCAGCTCTCACCTTGCAGGGGGGAAGGGCCCAGGCCATCAGTTACCAGGAAACAGGGTGTCGGCCATTCTCTGTGTCCAGATTCCTCCACACACCTGCCCTCTAGGGCTCTGCAATGATCATACACCCTTACTCCACCCCCTAGATACTTAAGAACTGCATAGGGGAAACTGAGGCACCCCCACACTATTCAGAGGAAACATTAAGAACAGTCCCACTTCGTCACACAGTGCTGGGGGGGGGTTCATCTAAAATGGTTGGGCTATTTCAATGAACATGTTTAGGAAAAATACTTTGTTTTGCTGAAGTCAAAAAATTCTTACAACTGCTGCACTGAGAAACTCATAGAAACATGGGTCTGGAAGGGACCTGAAAGGTCCCCTAGTCCCCCCCTGTGCTGAGGCAGGACCATGTAACCCTAGACCATCCCTGAGAGGGGTTTGTCCAACCTGTTCTCAAAAACCTCCAATGACGGGGCCCCCACGACCTCCCCTGGACGCCTGTTCCAGGCTGAGCTCCCCGCAGAGCTAGACACTGTTTCCTGATATCGAACCTAGAACTCCCTGGCTGCAGACGAAGCCCGTTGCTGCTTGTCCTGCCGTCAGTGGACATGGAGAACAATCGGTCGCTGTCTTTAATACAGTTCCTGTCCCATTGGAAGACTGATCAGGTCTCCCCCTTACTCTCCTTTTCTCAAGATTAACCGCACCCCGTGTTTTTAACCCTTCCTCGCAGGTCAGGTCTCTAAACCTTTGATCAGTTTGTTTCTCTCCTCTGGAGTCTCTCCAGGTTGTCCCCAGTTTTCCCAAAGCGCAGCACCCAGAATGGCACACAGTACTGCAGCTGGGCCCCCCCTGTGCCGAGCGGAGCCGGACAATGAGCTGCCGTGTCTGACGTCCGACCCTCCTGTTAATACACCCCTGGCTGATATTAACCTTCATGCACCTCCCTGCTTAGGAGTGGGGGCTGCAAATTTGGCAGGAGGGTCATTAGGAGTCAGAATTAGCTTTTGCCACCTGTGTGAAAATTGGTCCAAATTTAGCCCTGCTGTGCACCACTGACAATCACCATTGACGTGCTCAGGAGAAGCACGTGAGAGTTTGGCAGCTAAGTTCTCTGCACCGTCCATCTGCACCCAGCGTGCTCCGCGACCCCTTGCTCTCAGAGCGTGCTCTGGGCCAGGGCTGAGCGGGGCTTGCTCTGTGCTCCCACTGGGCGCAGGAACGGAGAATAGGGAGATTGTCTCCCCACTGTATTTTCCACAGTGAGCATCCGATGAAGTGAGCTGTAGCTCAGGCGAGCTCATGCTCCAATAAATTGGTTAGTCTCTAAGGTGCCACAAGTCCTCCTGTTCTTTGTGCGGATACAGACGAACACGGCTGCCACTCTGACACCTGTCTCTCTTGTGCTTTCAATGCCCCCCACCCCCAAGCTGGCACCCAGGTGCCGTGGAGAAGGGGAGGAGCAGTGAGGGAAGGGCTGGGCTGGGGGGATAGAGACAGAAAGGACCGGCTGGGCTGGGACATGGCTGTGAGGCACTGGGAGACATGAGCAGAAGCGTCGGCAACCACTAGACGACGCTCCCCTGCCGAGCCTGCAATGGAACAGGTCACGGAGCAGGGAGCGGGCGGACTGACCTGGGGATGTTGCGTGGGAGTTTTGCAGGTACCCGCTGCGTTGGGGATGGGGATCTCCGGGGGTGACTTCACCGGAGGGACGATACCTGAGCCTGTAACCTGAGCCCAGGATGGGGGTTGGGGCCAGGTGATGCCTTTGCCAGGGAAACTGGACAAAGGCTGGAGAAGTGGGGGGGTGAGGCTGGGTGAGACGGCTGGAGAGGGTTTCAGCTGGGAGTTGCCGTCTAAGCTCCCTGCCCCCCAGACGGACCTGACTGAGGGGGTCCTGTTGTCTGCACCTACAAGATCTGATTTGGACTGTGTTCCTGTCGTCTGATAAACCTTCTGTTTTACTGGCTGGCTGAGAGTCACGGGGAATCGCAGGAAGAGGGGGTTCAGGGCCCGGACTCCCCCACACTCCGTGACAGATCCCAAGAGTTCTGTGTCTCCCCCTTCCTCTGCTGTCAGCGGGTCGCTGTGACGCTCTTGTCCCCCATAGGGGCCGACTCCGGGGGTGCGCTGGGGCTCAGGCACCCCTGGGAAAAAGTAGGGGGTGCTCAGCACCCACCAGCCACAGCGGTACTGGGGCCCCAGGCTGGCCACCGATCAGCTGTTGGGCTGCCTCCAGAGGGGGCCAGTGGAGCAGCGAGCGGCTGGCAGGAGGCGCTCGGGTGAGGCAGAAGACAAGCAAGTGGCCGGCGTGCAGGGGGTCCTTGGGGGAGGGGGCAGAGCAGGGGCAGGGCCTCTGGGAGGGGGTGGTGCAGGGGCAGGAAGAGGCAGAGTGAGGGTGGGGCCTCGGGGCAGAGTGGGGGTGGGGCCTCCACTGGGGAAAAAAATTCAGCACCTGTGTCACCCCCCTGTAGTGCCTGATCCACACAGAGGATAACAGCCTACTGCTGCTCCACTCACCCCCACCATCAGGGCAGTTGTGGCCCCACACCGACTCCTGACCCCTCTCCCGGGTAACCCCAGCACCCCTGAGGTTGTGTGTGTCACAGGAGTCATCCAGGGGAGCTCTCGCTGGGTGAGGGGAGGGCCTGGCAGAGGCTGCTGGGGACACGGGGCCAGGTCAGACCAGATGGTGATGGGGAGCGTGTGTCAGATCTCCAGGTGCCGTAACTATAACGTGCAATTTTCACATGTTCTAGACCCACGGGCTCCAGTTCTGTACGAGATCTCCCAGTCAGACGTCCTGGCTCCCGGGAAGCAGGTAACACTGAGCTGCCAAATATCCAGGTTCTACCCCAAGGCGCTGAGCGTGACCTGGTACCGACAGAAAAGAGGAGAGCCGGTGTTCCGGTGCTTAGACACTCTGGGCACCCACAGGATTGTCACCCCAGACCCCACAGCCGCGCCAGATGGGAAATCCTACAGCGTGACGTCCCAGCTCCGCTTCACCCCCTCGGTGCCCGAGGACGACGGGGCAGAGTACCTGTGTTCCGTGGAACATCAAACCCTACCGGAGCCTGAAGGGAAATCCACTGGGCCGCTGGAGCTCCGAGGTACGAGCGAGCGGGACTGGGCAGAGCCGCGCTGACGCTGGGGTTGTTGTGGCTGAGGAGGTCTCTGCTCTCAGGCACCTGGGGTGTTCAGCGTCGCTTTGGGCTGAGCCTCCTCCCGCCGGTTCCCAGCACGTGGGGCGGGTCCTGGAACGTTTGGGGACTTGCCCGTGGGCTGCTCGCAGGCTCCCCCCGTGCTGGGGAAAGAGGGTTCTCAGGTCTGGAGAGAATTGATGGGCGGGTGCAGCAGCCCCTCTGTTTAAAACAGGGTTCAGTTTTCCACTTGAGGCAGGGACTCACCCTGATTGTTTCTCAGGAGGAGAATAGTGTGTCCTCCCCAAACTCACGGCCCAGGGTCTGAGGGCAGAGGAGGAATTTTCTAGGGAATTTCAACTAAATCTGGGATCTGGTTCGGGAATGGGACCTTTGAGAAGGTTTTACCTAAAGCATCCGACCTTTGTTGACACTGTTTGCTAATAACAGCTGGGTCTGTCTCCTTCCCATGGTTGCCATGATTAAACCCCACTGACAACCAGCGGCAAAGGGACAGGCGAAGACATTAAGCTGTAATTAAGCAAAGCGATTAATGGTGTACCCAGTCCTTGCTCTTATGCTCACAACTGGCCCTTGCCCAGGGGAGCTGCTGCTCCCCACACCGTGCCGTGGGGCTGACGCCACCTCCTGGGGTTGAAGCTACTCAAACCCTCAGCAGGGATGGTCCCTTTTCCACTCCTGAGGCCGCCCTCAGTAAAGATGGCTGCTGTCTCCTGTTGCTGGCTCTACCGGCTGCCCTCAGGAAAGGTGGCTGCCCGTCCCAAAGATGGCCACCATCTCCCATGGTTTCCATACACCAGTAGCCAGGCTGCCCTCACAGGAGAGCCCCATCCCCACCCCCCACGCTCCTTGGCTGGGAAACGGGGCAGGAAATTGTGAGGCGACATCTGTGCCGTGAGCCCCAACGAGACCACAAGCTCCATCGCAGGAGTGAAGGCGCCCGGCCAGGGTTACTGCCCACGAAGCACGGTCCTAGTGCCCGGCTCAGCGGTTACAGGGGCACGAACACACGTGTGCCCGTCGCTACGGACTAGCTCAGGGAATGGCGGGACTTTCCATTCCCCACTCAGCTGGCCAAGGACACCCCCTCTGAGACCCCTCTGTATACACCGATACAAACACGATGCGCGTCGCCCCTCGGACCGAGTTAGTTCCCGCCCGCCACCTTGTACACGTTGGTTCGGTCAAACCATCGCTATCCCTCACCCCGTCAGCCTGACCTTATCTTTAGGAGGGGTCAGTGTGTTCTCGTTACCTTTGGGGGGCTGCTGGTGAGCGAGGGGGGTGGGGGGGAGGGGAGGAGCTGATGGGGGGCTGCTGGTGAGTGAGGGGGTGGGGGGAAGGGAAGGAGCTGATGGGGGTGTCACGGCGTCCCCGGGCGATGCTCTAGAACTGCTCCCCATGAAGCCAGGCAGGACTCTGGGGAAGTCTCCTCTCCGGGAGCAGCCTGTCTGCAGGACACACAGCTCACCCGGCTTCCACCTTCCTGGGTCTGACCTCGGAGCATTCAGCCTCCTCTGCCCCTCCAGGCGCTTCCCCCAGCGAGTCCGCTCAGGCGGGGTCCTGGGGGGGCAGAGGGTCCTGCCCCCCAACTCCGCAGTCAGACCTGACTCTTAGCCATCCAGTAAAACAGAGGTTTATTAGATGACAGGAACGTGGTCTAAAACAGATCTTGTAGGTGCAGAGAACAGGACCCCTCAGCTGGGTCCATTTTGGGGGGCAGTGAGCCAGACAACCCCGTCTGCACTTCACTCCACGTCCCCAGCCAGCCCCAAACTGAAACTCCCCCCAGCCCCCCCTCCTCTGGGCTTTGTCCCTTTCCCGGGCCAGGAGGTCACCGGATTCCTTTGTTCTCCAACCCTTTAGCTCTCACCTTGCAGGGGGGAAGGGCCCAGGCCATCAGTTCCCAGGAAACAGGGTGTCGGCCATTCTCTGTGTCCAGACCCCTGCACACACCTGCCCTCTAGGGCTCTGCAATGATCATACACCCTTACCCCACCCCCTAGAGACTTAAGAACTGCCTAGGGGAAACTGAGGCACCTCCACACTATTCAGAGGAAACATTAAGAACAGTCCCACTTCGTCACAGGGGGCTGCTGATGGGTGCTCAACATCCACCATTTTTTTCCGTGAGGGCTGCAGCCCCAGAGCCCCCTCGGAGTTGGCGCCTATGTGCCCAGCACGTGGCCTGGCAGCCTGAGAGCTCTCTGCCCCGAGGCGTAACACAGGCCTTGCTGACTCATGAGGTGTAGTCCCCGGCTCCGGTCTGTCCCTACCCACCCCTTCCCCATCGGGGTCTGACTCAGTTCTCTGGGGAGACACGTTCCAGGTCTCCCCCTTACCAGCCCCTGCTCTCACTGACGCTCCTGCTGTCTCCCTGCAGCCCAGCCACAGGTGTCCGAGATCCAGGTGTTACCGCACTGGGAGCCCCGGGAGGAGGTGCCGTTTGCTGTCCAGATGCAGAACTTTTACCCCAGGGAGATTCACCGGATCCAGTGGAGCTGGGACGGGGCAGGGAGCGGGAGAGACGAGACCCCAGAAGTCAGCCAGAACCCGGTCTGGGACAGGGCAGGGAGCGGGAGAGACGAGACCCCAGAAGTCAGCCAGAACCCGGATCTCACATTCAGCGCTACCAGCGTCTGGAGAATCCCCAGCCGGGGACTGAACCGTCCGGAGCTCAGAGTCCGAGTGTCCATTCAGCAAAGCCCCCGAGAGCCCCCGATCGAGAGAGAGATCAGAGCCGGGGACACAGGTGAGGGGGGCTCCTTGGGGTCGGACGGGGAATGAGCAGGAATCGCTGCCCCCACAGGGTCCCTGAGGCATGAATGAGGTTTGGGAGCTAATATTCCTCGTCCCCCTTTCCGGCTGGAGACGCCGATGGGTCGGGGTGTAACAGAGTCACACCCGGGGGTGATTTTATGGGGTAACAGCCCCACGGAGGGGTCAGATCTCTCCCGCCTGAAGGGAGGGGGAAGCAGCCCTCACCAGGCCCCATCTCCCCCTTGCGGGGCCTGTAACTGTCTCTGGATGTTTCATTCCCCAGGTCTCCTGCGGCCCCCGGAGGTGTCGGAAATCTCCCAACCCGAGTCAGTGACGGCAGGGGAGGAAATCACCCTGAGCTGCCGCATGGCGGGGCATTTCCCTGGGGTGCTGTGTGTGACCTGGCTCAGGAGGAACAGGGGGGCTGGGGCGGCTGTTCGTATACTGAACTCAGCCGAGTACAGAATCGAGCCCGGAGCTCCCCACACACAGGACGGGAAAAGCTTCCAGCAGGAGACGAGACTCCGCTTCACCCCCTCGGTGCAGAGAGACCAGGGGGCAGAGTACGTCTGCCGGGTGGGACACGTCATCCTACGGACCCCAGTGGAGAGACGCAGCAGGGAGCTGCAGGTCACAGGTCTGATCTTTCGTCTTGAAAAGCCTGCAACTCGTACAGGATGTTAGGAATTTCCCAACTGGAGCAGGCCAGGGCCCCTCTAGCGCAGCACCTCCCCCTTGACAGCGGCCAGGGCAGCTGCCCCAGAGGACAGGACAAACCCCTGCCGTCGGGGGCTACAGCCTAACGCAGGTGGTTACCCCAGCTGGTGGGGACTCAACATGGTGTGTTGCACACACGCACCCCTTGTGAGAGCGCTTCCTGGCTGCACCTTTCCTGGCTGTTGTGTGGGTGACCCACTTCCCTGGGCCCCGTGTGCTTTAAGCCTCCAGAGTCTGACCAGAGTCCAGCCACAGCCCAGGGCTTGGGCTCTCTTTGCCTACTTGTGGGGTGCAGATCCTCTGCCTTGCACCCCCCCCGAGAGCTCTGACCCTGTGCTCTCGCCGCCTAGCCCCAGGATCAGTGATGCCCCCCCAAACCCCACTTCCTCCCCCTGTATCTCAAACACACCGTCGCCAGAACTCCCGCTGGGTGGGCGCTCTGGGGTTACAGTTTCCCTCTTAAGCAGCATAACAGGGCGACTTGCCTTGGGCTGGGGGGAAGCTCTCCAGGCAGGGAGCCTGGCAGAGACCCTGGCCAAGAAGCAGGGCAGAGTCTGACAGACACACCCTTGGGGAGGAGGGGGCTGGGCCCAGCTGAGAGGGGTATAAAGACTGTAGGAGTTTGTGCTTTGTTTTTCAAATACTTTGGGCTGCTGGGGGAGAGACTGACCTGGGGTTGGGGCTGAGGGGCCTGGAAGACTAAATAAATGGGATCCCTTGTGGGGTTTGTTTGAACTTCTATTTGAACTGGGTGAGTTCTTAAAGGGGCCCCGAACAGGGGGAAACTGAGGCAGGAGATGCAGCGTGACTCCTGGCCACGCGGGACACCCAGGAGACAGCTGTCCCCACTCCAAGGGACAAGCGATAGTGAAAGCCAGGGCACACAGATTTGCACACTCCATATTTAGCAGCGTGAGAAACACAGATCTAGACCAAAGCAATAAACCGTACATGTGTTTCCCTGCCTCAGTTTCCTCACCACTCTGGAGCATTCCTTGGGCTGGAGTCAGAGTCCTCTGGGGGCACGTGGGATGGTTTTTTCTTCTGAATCCTGGAGTCTTCTCTAGCCCCACAAGCCGTCTCTGGCCCTAGCTGGTCTATGCCCATCCTCTTTCCTGCTCAAAGCTGCCTCTTCCTGTCCCAGTGAGTCTCCTGAGTTTTTACATCCCATCAAAAACCCTTGGTTCCTTTGTTTTCCTGCTGGTGATTTCCCACTCTCTCCACTTCCCCAGCCCCCTGAAGAGAGGTAGGATGAAAGTGGCTCTTCTAGGCTTGAGCGTACCTTAGGGAAGGGCTGGAAGGACTGACGCAGACCAGAGCCCTTGGGGAGGTGGGGAGGAGGGGTGATGCCTGGTAAGTTGATTAGCCCGCGTGTAGATACTTTGGTTGTTTTAATGTGTTTTCTCTCGAATGCTTTTACCTCCAGAATAAAGGGGCCGGCGTAGAAGGGCTGGGTGGTACCTGGCCTGCACCGGTTACCGTCTCTGAGGAGAAAAGCAAAGCAGAGCCGCTGGTGGCCAGGCGGTCCGACTCTCCTGGGGAGCTCACGGCGTAGGCAGGGTGCTGGGCAGCCTGGAAATACGCCGGTCAGGAGGGAGAGCCATGCAGATCCCCACCCAAGAGAGGTGACGGCTGAGAGCGGGTGCTGTTGCTGGACCACGATGGGGGACACAGGTGAACTGGGATGTACATGGTGGCTGGGCAGCCCACCTGGAGAAAAGTATAAACTCAGGGACACTGGCATCACCACGGCACCTCTTCTCCCCCGCCCGCTCACTGAAGGCAACAGGGTCGTCTGAAAGACAAAGAATCATTTGAAATGGGGGGGGGGGGTCCTAACGGGAAAAGCTTTCCAGTTAGCACCGGCTGCTGTCGGTTTTTGGGGAAGAGAAACCTTATTGCTCCAAATTTGACTCAGCTGGATAAAGTTTAAAGAAATTAGACTGTGGTTTTATCTTTTATTTCTTTTTGTAACCAACTCTGAACTTCTATGCTTATACCACTTACAAGCCCTTAACATCTCTCTTTCTGCAGTTAATATTGTTATTTTAATGTTTTATCTCAGCCAGTGTGGTTTCCACTGAAGTTTGGGGAATTACTCTGGTTACAAACGCTGGTGCGTATTCGTACCCTTTGATGGTATGATGAACTAATTAACGAGCTTACGCTGATCCAGGGGGGTCTGGAGCTGTGCAAGGGGCACATTCCTGGGGGGGCCAGGCTGGGGCTGGGGGATGTGCAGGTGTCTCCCTCTACACCGTGCAGGAGGGGCCGGCAGAGCCTGTGTGTAACTGTGCGGGTTGTATGGACACAGGCTAATGGCTGGGGGAGAGCCAGGGCTGGAGGGACTGCTGGTCACTGGCAGAGTCGTGGGAGAGGTGCCCTGGGCTAGAGAGTTAAGGGGGTACAGCAATTGCAAGTCCAGGTTGTACCCCAGGCCATATCACACCCCCTCTACCTCCATTTCCCCCTCTCAGTCCCACTTTAACCCCCTCCCCTCAGCCCTCACCCCAAAATACTTTCACCCCCCTTCTCATACAAGCCCACAGTCCTGTCTCCCCATGGCCCGTCCCCTGCAAACCACCCACCCTGCCCCCTGGCCTGGCCTGGCCTGTTGTCCCCCAACGATCAACTCAGTTCCCATTTTTCCTCTGCCCCCACAACTCCCCCACCCCGAGCCCCGAACTGTCCGTGGACCCCGGGTGGGGCCTGGGCTGTAACATCCGCTCTGGCCTCACGCATCCTGCAGAGCTCTTCAGCTTCCCGCGCTCGGGGCCACCCCCGGCACTGAGCCCAGCGCTGTCCCCACGACAGGGGTGGCCCTGGCTTCTCCGGGCAGGATCCCCCTGAGGTCCCGGGGCGGGGCCTGGCTCCCATGGGCAGTGCGGGGTGACTGGCAACATGCTGGGAAGGGGCGTCTGTGAGGGGCCAGCTCTGGGGGACCCTCTCCAGCTGGGGCAGCATGTGGAGCGGGGCTGGGGGGACGCAGGCCTGTCCCTGGGAAGCAGGTCTGCTCTCCGTGGGGTGCATCGACCGGCCTTACACCGTGTTTCAACCCTGCAGCATCCGCACCCTGGCTCAGGGCCTCTCATCCCCCCTGGGGCGCTGGGCATGGGCTGGGCACACAGGGTAACTGGGCAGAGGCTTGTGGGGCTGGGGCCTGATCTAACTCTTCATCCCAGGCAGGGCTGGGGGCAGCCTGTGGCCCTGCCAGGCCCAGGGTGACCCCGCAGGCTCCGGTTCTGCCAAGGAACTGACCCAGCACAGCCAGAGCCCCGCCAGCCAGCACCACCCGCTGTGTGAAACGCGGGCAGCCGCCAGCGCCCGGCTCGGGGCCAGGCCCTATGGCTGCGCTGCCAACGGCTGGCCTGGGCCCACGCACCCACCACAGCTCAGACCACGCCGCCAATTAATTAGTTTGTTAATTAAAACAAAGCATCGCGAAGCCCCGCGGCTCCCCCGTCCCTCCCCCGGCTCCTGTCACACCCTGGGGCATTCACACGGGCTCAGGGCAGACTCGGCGGCTGAGGCTGGGCAGAGCTGGGCAGTGACTGACCCACCTGTACCCAGGCCCCCTTCTCTGGGGTTCTGCCCCCTGGGAGCACCCCCACACTCTGCCTCTGGGTCTCCCCTTCCTGGGGAGCCCCCAACCCACTATCCCCACCTTGCCGCAGTCTGGGCTACTGCCAGTCATCACCAAGCCCCCACGCCCTGGGGCAGACTGCCGTGTAAAGGCCTCTCATCGTAGGTGTAACCCTTCTGCCCGTCAGAGTTGGCAGCAACAAGGGCCGGGTTCAGTATCTAGGGGATCCGTTCCAATAACACAATGCAAACCGGCTCGAGCCCCCACCCAGTGACCTGGGGCAAATATATACCACCCCCGCTGGGCGCCTCCAAGAGGCAATACTTCGCCTCTCGCAAACACAGAGTCTGAGTGTGGCAAAAAGCCTTTTAATAACAGAGAGAAACAATGTGGCATTACGTTGGGGAAACACCACCAACAGGATCCATAACACAACCCATGAGCAAAAACCCACCCCAAGCAAACTGGGGCGTGCCCTTTCCCTTTGGTTCTGGAGTCCAGCAACCCCAAATCACCCAAAGTCCCAAAAGTCCAACGACCCAAAAGTCTCTGTCCCTGGTCAGGGCAGCCCCAGAGTTCGAAAGTTTATCTGCCGAGTTTTACCTCCCAACCTGGGTGGAGATGCGGGGGGGGAGAGGGGGGGAGAGAAGAGGTAAGGGGCACTGTGACGAAGTGGGACTGTTCTTAATGTTTCCTCTGAATAGTGTGGAGGTGCCTCAGTTTCCCCTAGGCAGTTCTTAAGTATCTAGGGGGTGGGGTAAGGGTGTATGATCATTGCAGAGCCCTAGAGGGCAGGTGTGTGCAGGGGTCTGGACACAGAGAATGGCCGACACCCTGTTTCCTGGCAACTGATGGCCTGGGCCCTTCCCCCCTGCAAGGTGAGAGCTAAAGGGTTGGAGAACAAAGGAATCCGGTGCCCTCCTGGCCCGGGAAAGGAACAAAGCCCAGAGGAGGAGGGGCTGGAGGGGGTTTTCAGTTTGGGGCTGGCTGGCACATGGAATGAAGTGCAGACGTGGTTGTCTGGCTCACTGCCCCCCAGAATGGACCCAGCTGAGGGGTCCTGTTCTCTGCACCTACAGGCTCTGTGTTAGACCATGTTCCTGTCGTCTAATAAACCTTCTGTTTTACTGGCTGGCTGAGAGTCATGTCTGACTGCGAAGTTGGGGTGCAGGACCCTCTGGCTTCCCCAGGACCCCGCCTGAGCGGACTGGCTGTGGGAAGTGCCCGGAGGGGCAGAGGAGGCTGAAGGCTCCAAGGTCAGACCCAGGAAGGTGGAGCCGGGGGAGCTGTGTGTCCTGCAGACAGGCTGCTCCCCGAGAGGAGACTTCCCCAGAGTCCTGACTGGCTTCATGGGGAGCAGGTCCAGAGCATCGCCCAGGGACTCCGTGACAACTGCGCACCCTCAATCACCGTGTCTGAAGCGCCTTCCTACATCCTACTGGGGTAAAACCTCACAGGTGACCCGCGGTGTTTTGTGCACCAGAACAATAAAGATTTATTGCTGGTGGGACATGGGGATATCTGTATAATTTAGCTCAGACTGGCTCATGGGGGTAACCCAAAATTATGACGTATACGTCCAGACACGGCCCCAGGACTGTCTCTCTCGTTCCAGGTGCTCCGCAAGTCTCCATCCCCCGGTGAGCGCCCGGGAGAGACGCAGCGAGCGCCTTCCCCTGCCACGTGCGGGATTCTACCCCGGGGACGTCACCATTGCCTGGCTGAGAGACGGGCGGGTTCTGGCCGACTGTGACGAAGTGGGACTGTTCTTAATGTTTCCTCTGAATAGTGTGGGGGTGCCTCAGTTTCCCCTAGGCAGTTCTTAAGTATCTAGGGGGTGGGGTAAGGGTGTATGATCATTGCAGAGCCCTAGAGGGCAGGTGTGTGCAGGGGTCTGGACACAGAGAATGGCCGACACCCTGTTTCCTGGCCACGGATGGCCTGGGCCTTCCCCCGCTGCAAGGTGAGAGCTAAAGGGCTGGAGAACAAAGGAATCCGGTGACCTCCTGGCCCGGGAAAGGGACAAAGCCCAGAGGAGGAGGGGCTGGAGGGAGTTTCAGTTTGGGGCTGGCTGGGACATGGAGTGAAGGGCAGACGGGGTTGTCTGGCTCACTGCCCCCCAGAATGGACCCAGCTGAGGGGTCCCGTTCTCTGCACCTGCAAGCTCTGTTTTAGACCATGTTCCTGTCGTCTAATAAACCTTCTGTTTTACTGGCTGGCTGAGAGTCACGTCTGACTGCGAAGTTGGGGTGCAGGTCCCTCTGGCTTCCCTAGGAGCCCCACCTGAGCGGACTCGCTGGGGGAAGCGCACGGAGGGGCAGAGGAGGCTGAATGCTCCGAGGTCAGACCCAGGAAGGTGGAAGCCGGGTGAGCTGTGTGTCCTGAAGACAGGCTGCTCACAGAAAGGCGACTACCCCAGAGTCCTGACTGGCTTCATGGGGAGCAGTTCCAGACCATCGCCCAGGGGCTCTGTGACAGAAGGGACCTCAGGAGGTCATCTAGTCCAACCCCCTGCTCAAAGCACGACCAATCCCCAACTAAATCATCCCAGCCAGGGCTTTGTCAAGCCTGACCTTAAAAACTTCTAAGGAAGGAGATTCTACCACCTCCCTAGGTAACGCATTCCAGTGCTTCACCACCCTCCTAGTGAAAAAGTTTTTCCTAATATCCAACCTAAACCTCCCCCACTGCAACTTGAGACCATTACTCCTTGTCCTGTCCTCTTCCACCACTGAGAATAGTCTACAACCATCCTCTTTGGATCCACCTCTCAGGTAGTTGAAAGCAGCTATCAAATCCCCCCTCATTCCCGCAGACTAAACAATCCAGCTCCCTCAGCCTCTCCTCATAAGTCATGTGTTCCAGACTCTGCAGGACTCTGGGGCAGTTGCCTTCCTGTGAGCAGCCTGTCTTCAGGACACGCAGCTCACCCAGCTTCCACCTTCCTGGGTCTGACCTTGGAGCATTGAGCATCCTCTGCCCCTCCGGGCGCTTCCCACAGTGAGTCCGCTCAGGCGGAGTCCTGGGGAAGCCAGAGGGTCCTGCCCCCCAACTTCGCAGTCAGACATGACTCTCAGCCAGCCAGTAACACGGAGTTTTATTAGACGGCAGGAACATGGTCTAAAACAGAGCTTGTAGGTGCAGAGAACAGGACCCCTCAGCTGGGTCCATTTTGTGGGGGAGTGAGCCAGACATCCCCCTCTGCCCTTCACTCCATGTCCCAGCCAGCCCCAAACTGAAACTCCCTCCAGCCCCTCCTCCCCTGGGCTTTGTCCCTTTCCCTGGCCAGGAGGTCACCAGATTCCTTTGTTCTCCAACCCTTTAGCTTTCACCTTGCAGGGGGGAAGGGCCCAGGCCATCAGTTGCCAGGAAACGGGGTGTTGGCCATTCTCTGTGTCCAGACCCCTGCACACACCTGCCCTCTAGGGCTCTGCAGTGATTATAC